AATTTCGTCGAAAGTTTCGAATGAAACATTTCCTCAAAACAATTTCCGTCGAAATTTTCGTCAGAACACATTCCCATCGAAATTTTGAATGAAAAATATTCCATCAAAATTTTTGATTGAATTCTTTTTTCGTTTAAAACATTTGATGGAGGAAATCATTTTCGTCAAAACTTTTGATGGAAACTAAATTTTGATAGAAAATTTATTTTAGTAAAAATTTTCATCAGAGAAAAAATTTCGTCGCTTTTCGACAAAAAGTATTCCAACGAAAAAATAATTTTGTGATGAAACCAAGTCAAAAACGGGTCAGGTCAGATTTAACCCACTTCAGAAATCAAGTCAGACCCTCTTCAGAAACCAAATCAGGTCAGATCCGACCCGGTTCTGAACTAGTTCAAAAAAATTCAAACCAATTCAGACCTGACTTGTATCAAATTAAAGTGGGTCGGGTCAAAATACTTGACCTATAAAAACCAAGTTGGGTCGAGTCGGCACAAAAATCTGACCCGACCTGACCCATGCACAACCCTACTTTCACCTAATGGACATTGTACAACAACTTCAATACATGATTTTTTGTCATTTCAAGGCTCACATGATGTCTAAATAGGCTTGAAAGCCCTTTCATCATACATTAGCCTATAATTACATCATATTCACTATACCAGTTACAATCATCCAAATGAAGAACTTAGCTATTACATCACATGATCAAAGTTATTATCAATATACATCACTAGACATTCAACATCACCATGATCATGGGCTAAGTCCCAAAATATACATAATATGGTCTCAAATATACATCTAACTAGGATGTTACAAATGACATATACATTCAACATTATCAACTATACGCATCCGATACATAAATTTCTACCAAAATATGAGATGCAATCAAATGTAGATACATGTGAGGCACTTCAAAACAATCATATCACATGTTATCGTATGGCAATCTACTCATACCTCTTGCCTCGTGCCCGACTTGCATCATCCATGATAATACCTGAAATAGCAGTCCCTAAATGGGGTGAGATAACTCAATAAACCCAGGGTTCTTAGAGAATTCCTCCAATCCTAGAGTTCACTTCCTGTATGAAAGATTAGTATACACATTGCATGAATTATATTATATATCCATAGACAATAACAGTAATGATTTAACTGCAGCATACTTATGCATTCAAATGGCCAAAGAATTAAATAATCAAATCATCACATAAGCTTCAATGGCATCTTAGTCCTTTCCACCAAGCATACAACCTTGCCCTTAATGCTTGTCCGTTGGCCCTTTCTCCAATGATACAACAATACTATATCAATGCAAACATATCATAATACTAACATTACCACTCAATCATCCAATCAATAACCATTATTTTCATAAAAGCAACGGTGGAATAACAAGAGGGATGAACCTCTAAGATCCAAAAGTTTACTTGTTGATGCTTTCTCTCCTTTGCAAGCTTCCTTTAGCTCAAACACTAGGAATCGCTATTTTCACACCAAGGCAATCTATGACCAAAGTGGAAATGGAGTTATTAACTAAATTAACACATAAAACTAAGCCCGTTGCTAGACAATTAACTCAAATATTCTTAATTATTCATAAATTCAACGTTAACTCAACTTACCCTCTTTGTAGATTTTTCAAGAAACTAGTCTTGGTCCAATGAGCTACCCAATGGAAGATTCTCTCTCAATGGATCATTGTGCTCAACTTTACAACATACAAGTCAATGAGACAACATCAAAATCTCTCCCGACACTACAAAATTCGCAGGGTACTATTCATGATCTTCTACGTTTTTGAGATTTCCATGGAAACTATTTTAAGGAGTGAAAACTTATCCCAAAATGACACACAACCAAGGGATGAGTGTTTTCTAAGCTCCCATGGTGTGAAATGCCCTCAAACTCCACCAATCTCCAAGAAACTCGAAATCTATAGGGAGGATCTCTCTCCACAAGGCTTCCTACTCAAAACTAAGATAGGATTTGTGATGAGGAAAGAATTTTTTACATTTTTGGCTTTTGAACAGATGAATTTCCTTGAGAAATAGAGAAGTTAGGATTTTGAGGTTTTGAAAATGGTTCTCTCTTCCTCTCTCTCTCCCTGTAGAAGAAGGGGGGTTCCTTGTGTTTTAACACTTAACTTATTTCAACTGGATAAAGATAAAGGCTTATTTATCTAGTTACCTCGTCTAATATATTTTTACAATTATATTTCTAACTTTATTTTTACATTCTGAGTAATTTTGCCTACACATATTTTTATCCTAAAAATCTCACTAACTGCACCTTTTTAACCCAAAATAGTTTTAATTCTTTTATTTAGGCCTTTTACTTAATTTAATCCAATAATGCATAATTAATTACTTAATTACATGCAATTTTCTAAATACTTAGTTTAGGGATTTTATACTATGGTTTTGCAAATGTGTCATCACAGTTGTCTTTCTTTTACTTTATTTTAAAGATGAATAGTCTCTTGAAATTACACTTCATACCATACACTTGCAAACAAATGTTACTTCTATTACGTCAAAATGTAATATCTCTAAATAATATCTACTGACATATATATAGTTGTAAAACGTCAAAATGTAGGCTAAAAAGTATGTAAAAAAGCCATAGCGATAGACTAGAAGTGATAGACAAAGCAAGAATACTAGAGAAGAAAGTCAGCGGAAACACAGGACAACGATCTTGAAAATACTGGAGCAAAAATCTGCATTTTTTTGCATGCCTTCCTTTTCCTTTGTTTTTGTCTTATTAATTTTCACTCATTGAATGCTATTACGTAAACGTAACAAATAATACTTACCTATCTCAATGTCATTAACCTCACGTTGTAGATCAGAGGCACAACCACTTCCACCTTTTCTGCCATCTCTCGGGTAACTTTTGCTCTTGGAACATGAACATTTATAACTCCCAAGTACGTTAATGCAAATGTCTGAACAGTCATTTAGACTTGGATTGGAACACTCATCAATATCTTGTAAAGAAACAACCCAAAAATAGTTAATACTCTATTCAGTTACTGAGAAAACAAATTATAAATGAGACTAATTACAACTTTGTAAGAACATAGTGTGTACTAACCAATATTATTAAACTCGGCCCGGTTATTGATCCGGTCGAGGTACTGAATTATTGGGTCACTGGTTCTACCAGTGGGTTACTGGTTCAACCGCATGACCCGGTAAATATATGTAAATCTATAATTTATATTAAAAAAACTATAATATTCTTAAATACTTGTAAAAAAATATACCAATTTCAAATATTTTAATATGAAAATAATAAATTACACATCATTGTCCAACAAAAGATCAATCAAACATATAATATTTGTGATACTAGTGTATCAGGTTCATTAAACGATATCTCTAACTATAAATCAAATCAAAATTCTCTGCATATTACGTAATCAAGATAATATTAGTGTTGTAGATACCTAGTCCATGTAAGTTAATAAGCTACAAATCACTCAAATATTTAAAAAGAAAACAAATAATTTGTGTTTGGGAGTAAAAAAAAAAAGAAGACATTAATTTACGAAAATAAATTCATTTTTTTTTAATAGACCGGGCCGGGTCACCGGTTAAACCGACCGGGTCACCGGTTTTTACGAAAACCGGCCGGGTCGCACCGAGTCACACCGGTTCTGTAACATGGCCGGTCCAATATGAAAACCGGACCGGTTACATGACCGGTTCACCGGTTTTCAGGTCGACCCGGCCAGATCGATCCGGTTTTTATAACAATGGTACTAACCAGGAAGGTAAGCATTTCTCACAGAACCTTCTAAGTTTTTGTCAATAACAATAACTTAGTATGAATAGATAGATATGTTGGCAGGATTATTAACTTGTAAAGTCTCTTCAGAACCATTTCGACTCTATATTCCAAGTTACTGTATTTTGTTACATGTAACACCTTCATTATCAGTTATATTTTTCTCAGTATCTTATGATTCTTATTACATCTCAATTTTCTTGGAAAGTAAAGTAGATAGAATTGAAGTAATTCTTGTACATCAGTAGGCTTGCATAAAGAGGAGGAAAGCAGTTTTTTATCTCATACAGTTCAGCTCTTCTCATAGAGGAATTCTTAGGAATATATTAATACCATTGGCACTCAGACTAACGGTTGACAAACAGTTTTTTGCTTGATGGCTTGATCTTATTCTTATGAAAGTCAGTGGAAAATTGCTAGTGTCCATCTCCCTAATGGTATAGTAATGTTCCTGCTTTTTGGTAGCTTCATTTTTGCCCTAATGGTAAAGTAATTGAATTGCATGTGAATTTATATAGAAAAAACTTTGATACCACACTGTATATAAATTTAATTTAGTGGAGTACCAGAAAAACAAAAAAGTCGTAAATAGTAACTCCAAAAGAGAAGTACATTAGAAACGGAAGACATATCTCAATTTGTTTGTGCTCATAAATAACTAGTTAATGTGAGACTTTTCGCTGCACATACACAAATTTAGCAACTCATAAGTTTTTAGTAACTTATATAGTCTGCTGGTTACTATTAATTATTTCTTTATACTGGAAACAAACTTCTTTAAATTCAGTTACGAATTCAACATAAAACAAAACAAAACAAAAAAGGTGGAACGAAATTATATTAATGAGGGTAGGAAAAACAGCATGTTTACTGGTTACTATACATTGAAAGAATATCCAGAGGACAATCTGTTAAGCATTTACTAAAATCCAAAGCATAAAAGAACCTTTTTCAATATTCACAATCACACCTTAGAAGTGTATGGAAACCATGCATCTACTGAGGATCCCTGTTAGGTTCCTTTTCAGCAAAAAGGATAAGCTTAAGGAAAAGAGAAAAATAAACTAAATGGAGCAATTTTCGAATATCCTTCGTTGAAATAATAAACCCTTTTAAATAGGGATTACAAACAACAGTTGGATTCCTAAAATAACGGCACTACTAACAATATACAAATAACTGATACATGCTGAGAAATACATCCTAGAAAACTGAAAATGAAAACGTGCTTGCTACGTGGGAGTTAGCTTTGGGTTTGTATCAATTCCCCTATTCTTTCACCAAAATAGTTCACTTCCAACAACAGTAATCATCTTCCACCACCCAATGAAATCGAAATCCGGTTTATGCTATCAAAGCCATAAGTAACGCCACTTCCACCAGCACTATCTTCCACATTGAAAGCAGATGGTGCTGCTTTGAGCAACTTCTCAGTCTCTTCTGAAGACAAATTGACACTTTCCCACCGGTGCTTTTCCGTAACTCTTAGCCCCTCAAGTTCCATTGCCACTTCTTTCATGGTGGGTCTCTCCTCTCCCCTCACCCTTAAACACCTTTTTGCAATATCGGAAACTACCCTTAGTTGCTCAACATTTGCATCATCTGTTATATGGCTGTCCACAATGTTAAGTAACATACCCTCTTTCAGAGAAGAAAGGAAGTAAACTGCAAGGTTTCTATCTTCCTCTGGCCTTTCAAATGAGAGTGCCTTCTTTCCTGTCAGTAACTCTGCTAAGACAACCCCAAAACTATAGACATCACTCTTCTCTGTTAAATTGCTTGTCTGAAAGTATTCTGGATCAAGATAACCCAGTGTCCCCTGCACCAAAGTGGTTAGCTGATTTTTATCAAGAGGAACAATCCTTGAAGCTCCAAAATCAGAAACCTTTGCAATGAGATTATGATCAAGTAGTATATTTGTAGTTTTCACATCTCTGTGTATGATTGGTGTAGAAATAGAAGAATGCAAGTATGCCAGGGCCCCTGCAGCTTCTGTTGCTATTCTCAATCTTGTTTTCCATGTAAGTTTTATAGAATTGCTTTGATCATGAAGATGCTCATGGATAGTACCATTGGGGATGAATTCATAAACAAGCAAGGGAACTTGTGTCTCTAGACAACAGCCCAAGAGCTTTACCACATTCCTATGGTTGATTTGTGAAAGAAGGACCACTTCATTGATGAATTGCTCAATCTGGCTTGGGTCACTGATTTTGGACTTTTTTATTGCTACAGTTCTGTTATCATGTAATATTCCTCTGTAAACTGTTCCGTGGCCACCTTGGCCTAGGACTCTTCCTTCATCAAAGTTGTTGGTGGCATCCTTTAACTCCGCCTCAGTGAAGACTTTAGCTGTTTCAGTTGACCCTCTATGCCTTGCTATCTGTTGTTGGAATAATAAGCCACCATTTTGTTGAAAAAATTGTTCTTTAAGTTTGATGAGCTTTCTCTTCTTCAATGCCCAATACACATAAAAGCTTCCAATGAGCAGTGCTATGACCATTACACTCACACCTGGACATAAAACAAGTGGAAACATGGTCAACTTCATATTGTTGCCGATAACACATGTTCATATTTCCTGTTCCAACATGCATAGCCTGAAGGACCAATGTTCTAAATGCAACCTGAATAGTACCAAAATCACTTGAATATATGAATTTAAATTCACAACAGAAATTTATAACATGTATTAGTTTTGTTAAGTACGAATGAAAAATCTGTAAACAATATTCATTGTTATAGTAAACTTGGTTGACATGAATGTGCTGAAATTCCAGCAGACAACAATTTACTCACTCAAAGCAATAATCAGTATGATATCTCTCCTGGGTTTGCGATGGCATGTTGTTTTGCCATCTCCTTCATATCCTTTCGGACAAGAACAATTGTAGCCCCCAAGAACGTTGATGCATTTTGCCCCATCAATGCATTCGTTTGATTCCGCGCATTCATTAATATCTATAAATTAAAAAAAAAAAAAGTAAAAGTAAGCAATATTAATCATACTTATGATTTGTTATATATTTAATTATATTGTATACTTGACAATAATTATAGAAATGAAGCAGAATCTAATCCCAACAAGAAATAAGAAATAATACCTTGGCAACCATGAGGGAGGTAAGGGTTTCCTTGAAAACCATGAGAGCAGTTGCAGAGGTAACCAGGTCCCTCCGTTGCATTGAAACATTCACTGTTCTGTGACACACAGGCATAACTTGAAACATTTTTCCGAGCTTCTTGGCACGTTTGGTTCCCCACTGCCCAATCCAACACAACAGGAAACGTTGTCTTCTCAAAGTGGACGAGGTCTGTGGACAAGAAGCTGTAGGCTCCTTCTTCCACCAGAAAAGCATAACCGCATGGATTGAAGTCAAGCACGTCGGTGTGGTTATTCAAGCTAGTAGAAATATAGGCAAAACCCGATAGACCTTCAGGTATTGAAGTCTCACAACAACCAGTGCCAGAGCAAGAACCATTAGCTACAATATCATCACGCCTATTGCACAGAGAGATACATCCAGTGGTGTAGTTCTTTCCCTGATCAGATTCAACTCCGAGAACAAGTGCAAGCGTGTCACAACCAACCACGGTGAACTTGTTTCGTTTTGAAGAGATGTGAAAATGTTTCAGATTGAGGTCTTGAATTGTTTGGTTCACACGCTTGCCTCCTTCAGTGTAACAATCGCTGGCTACAGGATATGAAATCTGCAGTTCACCGTTGAGTGAGATATTTAGCACAGTTGTATTACTTTCGCTCAAGAAAGGTGTGGGTGGTGAAGAGGTTTGGTTGCATGTGATGATAAATGAGCTATCTAGTGAACATTCCTCGGTGGTGCCAAATGGGAAGGGAATGGTAAGGGAGCCACAGTTGTTGGGGCAGTTCGGTTTTTGCATTGGAATGGATTGAGTTTGAGTTTGAGTCGCTGAAAAAATGATCACAACAATTAGCAGCTGCAGCAGCTGTTTAGCCATCGCTTTGTTTTTCAGACATAGCAAGTGCATAGCCATATAATTAAGATGACATAGAAATCCAATTAAGGATTTTGTTAATTTCTTATTTATTTATTGTTCTTGTAAAGGTCGAAAGGTCAAAAGGACGAAAAAAATTATAGTGTAGTGTGGAGGAATGAATCAAACATGGCGGCCCTTGAAATTTATAATAATGTATTTGTCGTTTATAATGTTGAAAGTATATATCTAGCCGAGATTGGGTCAGAGACAAAACATTGGTTCGTGAAAGCTAACTCCTGACTTTTCGGGCGGCGAAGGATGGTAAGTACCAAATGGTGTGATAGCTAAGTTGGCGTATGAGAGCTAAGTAGGAGGGCCTCAGTACTATTTTTAGGAGGGGTTTAAAGCCTTGATTCTGGATCCACCTCGAATCGGATTAGTTGCAAAGCAACGAAGCAATTGAAATATTTCCAAAAAAAAAAAGCATCCTAATAAAAATTAATAAAAATTCAATATAATTAAATTATTGCTTGTGCATGTGTTAATTGAATTCATATGATCTACAAACTAGTTAATCGGGAAACAAATGATATTTGTATTTTTGATTTAGTGCCTTCAGGCCTTAGCTTAATTTTCCTTGTTGATCTCGCCCATGTGAGCAGAATTGTACTTGTTAGATTTTTGTAATTCTCGTCTTTTCCGTTGGCTGGGGTTGTTTCCCTGCAACTTATCAAAAAATAATCTATAATGTTATAATTCATTAAAATAAACAGTAGTTAAAGAACTTGAAGGTGATAAGAGTAATATTGTTGGATTATTCAAGTGTAATGAATCTTATATTGGTTGATAATAGGCTAAGTGAAGTAGTGAATATAAGTGGATGAATCCATGAATTCAATATATTAAAGTTTTGGGTTGAGACGTGATGTCGGACCCATTTGGTGTATTTGATCCACTTAGCTCATTGGTGGTGATCCTCTGTCACGGGCTTCCCCTGTACCCCTGATAGTGGTATTAAAGTCGTGCTGGGCTCGAGCTAGCCTAGTGATTGATTAGAGACTGGTTGAGTATTTTGGGCCTGGATATTCGGCTAAGGGGGAGCATACCAATAGTGTGTTTCACACTTGAGGAAAAGATTGTTGAATTATTCAAGTGTGAAGAATCTCACATTGGTTGATAATAGGCTAAGTGACTTGGATATAAGTGGATGGACCCATGAACCCAATGCCTTAAAGTTTTAGATTGAGATGTAGTGTCAGACCCACTTGATATGGTGGTCTAGCTAGCTCATTGGTGGTGATACCCCGCCACGGGCTTCCCTGGACCCGCCTGACAAATATAAATACCTTACTATAACAATTAAACTCCTTACTTTTAAGCTATTTTATTAGAAAATTGAGAAAATTTCAAAACTGCCTATGGTATTGCTTTGAATTAATCGTATTCTTTTGCTTTTTTTTAATCACTTAATTTTCTATGATTTTTTTCATCCACACCCCTCTTTGACACTGTTAGAAACTTAACTAAGTACACATATTTTACCCTTATTAGAATATGAAAATAAAGTGATAAAAAAAGAAAAATGTGACAAAATATCATGAAAACTTAGAACACTTAATAAAAAAAGGAAAAAATATCAAATGTGTCTAAATAAAAAAAATTGAATAAGAACAAAAAAATAAGACCAATTATGTTAAAAATCACAACAGTAACATAAAAGACTAAAATTAGAAAAAAAATCTGAATAAAAAAAATATAATGAAGATAAAAAAAAAATAAAGATAAAAAATAAAATAAAATACAAAAGAAATCACAGTTATAAGTTTTAAATATATTTGGTTTTATTATTCCTTTTTTACTTAGATATGTTTGATTTTTTCTATTTTTATTTTTATTTCATTTTTTGGTCTATTTTATTTTGATTTTTCTCTTTATTTTTTTGTAGCCTTGTACCACCCCATCTACTAAAGAATTTTGTAAAAAAAAGAAAAGATAGAGAATGAAATAGATATAAAGAAGATCAAACATATCTAAATAAAAAGAATAAAATAAACCAAGGACAAAAAAATAAAATAAGATCAAATATTTTTAAAATTCATAATTGTGAGTTCTTTTTCTTCTATTTTTTTTTGTTAATTTTTCTTCTAAATTTTTGTATTCAGAATTTTTTTTCATTTAGACTTTTTAAAAAAAAAAAATTTAGTCTTTTCTGTTACTGTTGTGATTTTTAAGATAATTGTTCTTATTTTTTCTTCTATTTTTTGTCGTTATTTTATTTTTTATTAGACACATTTGATATTTTTGTTTTTGTTTTTTATTAAATTTTTAAGTTTTCATAACATTTGATCATATTTTTCTTTTTTTATCAATTTATTTTCTTATTCTAAGAAGAGTAAAATAGGTGTACTTAGTTAAGTTTCTAACGGTGTTAAAGAGGGGTGTGGATGAAAAAAAATTACTAAGAGTAGCATTTAAAAAAGGGTTTTGTATCTATAATTTAACATGACCACAACAACTTTCCTACACACACAACATTTTGTGGGACCCACAATTTTTGAAACCAAAAAAAAAAAAAAAAAACTCTGGCACGCAAAACGAATCTCTATAACATAACACAATCACTTTTCCTACAACATAATTCTTATTAAACCCTTTAAAAAAATAGGTATAAGTGATTCAAAGCAATGCCCAATGTGTTTTTTGAACTTTTCCCAATTTTCTAATAAAACAGCTTAAAAGTAAGGAGTTTGATTGTTATAAGGTAGTTATATTACTCGTGTATTTTGAAATCTTTAAGTTCTTTAGCTACTTTTTATGTTAATGAATTATAACATTATAGATTACATATATGGCTTTAATGTTTCTACTGTAAATGAAGATAAGTTATCTACATTCATTCCTAAAAAGATGTCGTTTTGGATTTAAAAATTAAAAAATTATAATAAAAAAGACTATTATAACCTTAAAATAAATTATAATTATAAAAATACCTTGATTTTCGTCTCAAAACGACGTCAATTTGAGCTCAATTTAGATAACTTATCTACATTTACTACAAAAAAATGAACCCTATATATATGTGTGTGTATGTGTGTTTTTTGTTTGTTTTTTTCCCGATAAGTTGTGGGGAAACAACCCTAGCCAACGGAAAAGACAAGAATCACAAAAATTTAACAAGTCCAACTCTGCTCACATGGACGAGATCAACAAGGAAAATTAAGTTAAAGCTTGTTTCTCTTTTTGCATGCGTAGATTGAGATGACAAAGGCACTTCATTCGGTGTAATTACTTGGCCAAAAAGTCCACATAATTTTTTTTTATTGCTATCCCCTTTGAGCCTGAAACTTATTTTATTTTATTTATCTCACTGAATTTGACCCATATCCTTATCTTCCTACCTATATATGAGATTGGAACACTGGCTATTGAAATTCAATATAAAGTTATCCATGAGTATGTTGAGTGATGAGAAAAGGCAAGATGATGGGAGTAAAAGAGAAAAAAAAATTGTTGTCAGTTATTTCAATTAATTGTTTACATGTGAAAAAAAGGGGGTTGAAAAAATATATAGAAAAATAGAAAAAGAAATGGTTTTGTTTTTTGTTAAGTTATGAAAAGGCAGCAAGTAAGAAAATAAAAAGGTGGTGGGAGAAGAAAAAGTGAGCAGCTGAAAAGGAAGAAGCAGTAAAAGAAATGTATGTGAATTGACTGATCTTTACATTGGATTAATGTGCTTCAATCTCATACATGAAATTTAGCTACTTTCCAAACATTCTTACCCCTATATCAGGCCACGTTACAATTCTAAAAAGATCTTTTGATCAAATTATGCATGTTATTTGTGTTTCTCATCTTTAGGAACTTGAGAATAGGATCGAGACTGTGTTAGTACTATTACACTGATGGATTGGGTGATTTAATTATACCACAAACACTTGAGTGACGAGTGTATTATTTATCTTAATGAGGGGTACTCAAGTTAGATTATATTTCCTCTTTGAAATTGAAAAGTATTGTTTGAAACTATCAAAACAGTCACTCATTCATGCTTAGCATAGTATTCTCTTAAGCATTTGCTCTTAAGTGCTATTTTTATGCAATGCTTTGTTTAAATTCCATGTGTTATACTCACAAGCTTACTTCCTTGCTTCTTATTATTTATTCTTGTTTATTGCTAAGGACAACAATATCTAAATATGAGAATTGTTTGATGTGCTTCCAGCTTAATATATTATAAGAGTCAAAATGAGAATGAATTCAATCAAAATGTAATCAAAAGACATGAAAATTATGATTAAATTGTCAATTCATTTTCAAGAGTATTTTCATGAAATTCTTGTCTTTATAGGAATTTTGACCAACTGAAGAAACACATGTTAGGAAGCTCAAATTGGTGCAAGAGAATGAAAAAGAAGCTTTTGCACAGTTGCGCTAGAAGCGCCAAACTTTGGATTAGTCTTCGGCTTCACTACACTAAAGGCGCCATAATAGTGCTAGTAGCGCCAACCACATCAACAACCTCAGTCCCTCTGTGCCAAAAAAGCACAGGAATGGTGCTAGAAGCGCCAACACTTCAACATCTTCATGCCACTAGCATGATAATGGCGCTGGGAGCGCCAAGTCGTATTACAAGCTTCTGTTTTATGGCGCTACTAGCGCCAAGAGGACGTTTATTCAAATTTTTTAAAAAAAGGCTTGGGTCACGTGCTGATGGAAGATTTGATTGTGATTTTTTTGGGAGAATGATTTGATTTAAAATTTAGAAGGAAATGTAAAAAGGTTGCATAATTTAGAAAAAGGGATCAAGCACAGAAAGACGAAGGAGGAGATTTAAAGTTCAGAGAGAATGAAGATTGAAGGAGATCAAAGCAACTGTCGAGATCAACCTTCTTCCTTCCACCATTGCTTCATCTAGTTTTATGTTCATATTTTAATTTGTTTAAGCCATATATGTCTGGTTAGTTTTCTTTTGTAATTAGGGATATGGATATAACGTGAATCCTTATTTAGTTTAATGCTTTCATTAATAAATTGTCTCAAATTGTTTGTGTTTACCTTGAATTGCATGTTTAAATTCTTGTATGACTTGATAAATCATAGAGGAATAAAGAGGGTTAAGGTTCACAATAGACATATTGGGATCTTGATCTTGACAGGGGTAGAACACCAATTCTTGCATGATCTAGACATAGGCTTGTAAGAATTGCAAACTTTTATAATTTATTGCGCTTGCGACTTAATTTGAATGGGGTTTTAAGATATTAGAATTTCAATTGGGTTAAAAGGTTAAAGAACTAAGACATTAAGATTTAACCAATTAATTCTTAGACGATGAATTGTTTAAACCAATTGGGATGAAATATTATTAGATTGAATTAATTCACTTAAGGGGAATCAGAGGTGAAATAAACCCTAACTGCAGTTGTTTCTCTTGATGTTAAATCCACTTTTAATTACCTAAATTTTGTCCTTGCAATTTATTACTCTTAGCTTTTGTTTCCTTGTTACTTTATAATTAGTTTTCTATCAATTTAAATAAGAGAAAAATGTTTCCGCAGTTAATGCAGAGAAGTTATCTGCATTTATTCTCAAAACGACGTCGTTTTGATATTGAAATCTTAAAAAATTACGAATATAAAGACTATTATAACCCTAAAATAAATTAAAATTACAAAAACATCATGATTTCCGTCCCAAAACGACGTCGTATCGGCTTACTGCAGATAACTTATCTGCAGTAACTGCAGAAAAAGTAAACCCTTTAAATAATACTCTTTTCAAATCCCCTTTGAATTTTTCAAATTAAGGGGAATAGTAAGAATAGTGTTTAGTGTTTGGAGTCCCTAATTCTGGTAGGAACGATATCTTATTTACTACTTTATTATTTTTGTGATCGGTATATTTGTCATAAGTGCAACATCTCTTCTGTTACAAGATAGACTTTGAATTTCCTCTAGAGAAAATAAAAAGATGGGGCCAACTATTTTTTAAAAAATAAAAGAAAAGAAGCAAAGGCACATTGAATTGGTATGTGTGGGGAAGATAATTAGTTTATCTTACAATACAAGAAATTAGTTTTTCCTGTCACTGGAGAAACTAATTGTCCATATTATTATTATTTGAAAAAAATATTTTAAAAAACAAAATTACAAAATAATTTACCTATTTAGAATTTTTTATGGCACTTTGTATGCCAACATGTACTAAAGTTGAAGTCAGTCATTTTATTTTTTTGTTGCTTGCCATCCCTACCCTACGAGAGAAAATTTAGAGCTCCCGGGCTTGTAGTCCCCCGTGAGAGAAAAAGTTAGAGAGAGAAAAGAGGAGAGAGGAGAGAGAGAGAAAGAAGAAAAAAGAAAAAAAGGACTAGGGAATAAATTTCCCTACCCTAAAGGCTACATGGATCTCACTACCGCTGCTCACACACAAGACATATCTATATTTGCGGCCAAAAAATTAAATTATTAATTTAAAAAAGAGTAAACACCCTTTTTAGTCCCTGTCAATATCTACGAAGTCCTTTTTAATCCCTGACAATAAAAAAGGACCAAATTGGTCCCTGAAATTACAAAAAAAGGGGCCATGTTAGTCCTTATGTCAACTCCCAAATATGTAGAGTGGCCCTTTTCTTGTACTTTCAGGGACCAATTTGGTCCTTTTTTATTGCCAGGGACTGAAAAGGACTTCGTAGATATTGCCAGGGACTAAAAAGGGTGTTTACTCTTTAAAAAATTATAAAAACATGAGGAGAGATATTCTTATTACCAAAATTTTCTACTACTAACTCACTACCTATCTAATTACCATTGGATCAACATTTTTTTTCGTAATTCTTTATTTATATAAATAATATTTAAATACACAGATCACACTACCACAGTACCAGTTATCATGCGTGCTCTCTTTTTTTCCTCAAAGAATAAAATGTCAATTTATTATGTTTATCTGTTCAAATGACAGAAAATTTGAAAGACAAGAAAGTGACACATTTAAAGTAAACAACAGATCAATTCAAATAAAATGCGAGATATCAGTTTTAATATACTAAAAAGGCCTTTCATGCTAAATTAAAATTTGAAATTAAATTAATTTTAATTTAATATGCAGACTTTTAATACCTCAAAATAAGAGCATGTACACTCATCTATAATATGAGACGAAGACAGTGACAGTATGATCTATTTTATTTTTTACCGGTTCATCAATCTGTTAATTAACAAATAATATTTGATGGTAGTATTAAAATTGTATGTTGAATTGTTGATATTATATGAGTAAACACCATTTTTAGTCCCTGGCAATATCTACGAAGTCCTTTTCAGTCCCTAGCAATAAAAAAAGATCAAATTGGTCACTGAAAGTACAAGAAAAGGGTCACTCTACATATTTGGGAGTTAACATAAGGACTAACATGGCCCCCTTTTTTTGTAATTTCAGGGACCAATTTGGTCCTATTTTATTGCCAGGGACTAAAAAGAACTTCGTAGATATTGATAAGGACTAAAAAGGGTGTTTACTCATATTATATTAATGCTGTTGGCAATGTAACGTTACTTAAAATATTAGATTATATGCATGATTGCATTACGCGTGTAATTATATAATTTGAATACTTAATTGTCAATTTGTAATCAAGATTCCAATGTTGATTAGTATGTAGCTACGCCCATTTTAGATAAATTTAATATTAATGTCACCCTGTGATGTTGATAATTGAAATACTAAACAAATAATGAGGTGTGATGAAGATGACCGTAATATCCTGTTAAATTCTAAATATATTTTTAGATTTAGATAAATTAATTTGTTACTTTGTTTACTATAAAATTTATAATTAATTCACCAATATATAAAATATTATTTTAAACATAAATTTTAAAAAATCATTTAACCATTTTTTCAAGTGATATAATTTTATTCAAAATACAAAGAAATAATATATATGTTCTAAAACTTTAATGCCGACTAGATCTTCTGTGACTATTATTATTTAATAAAAGTAATAAAAAAATATTTAAAATGAAATTAGGAGTTTTTAGGATTGGAATTAATTCATTAAAAATAAATAATTAGAGAAAAATATTTAATTATTAATATTATAAAAACCATTTAAAAATTGAAATCCACGCGTTGGAAGATCCACTAGATCTCCTGTGTCCTTCAAATTTAGACCTTTCTGTTTTTCTTTCCTTTTTTTCAGTAAAAAGAAACCTTTTTTTGTTGGGCTTTTCCTCCTTAATGCTACCAGGGCCCAATGTTGGTGAGTGAGGCTCAAGAAAGTCAAGAAACTTGTGGCTCAAGAAACCCTAATCCTCACTTTTGATATTCTAAAACTTTCTTTTTTCTCATATATAAGAATTAGTTGAGGGTTGGAGGAAATGTTAGCTTGAGAGACACTTAAAGACAATTTCGAGAGCACATCTAGGGAGAAGCTTGAGTATTAGACTTCCTTAGGGAAGTTTGAGAGAATATCACCATTGTAGTGAGGTTTGAGTGTATCACTATTATTGGTGAAGTTTGTAACACCCCGTAGTACTCCGGTTGTTAACATACATGATATTTAACATTCACAGCGGAAGACTTTATTTGAAAAGGAATAAAGCATCTTATAAAAATACGAGTAAACTTTTTCCAAAACATTTCATAAAAACATTTCTAAAAACGTTCACGTCAGATACTGCGAAAGCGTAAATCTAAATATACATCTACTAATTAATCCCATGAGCCAGTATTAGTGGCCATTGACCATCAAGATATGACATCAAGTGTCATTCCTGACGGAGTCTCACGGACAGCATAACGGCTGTATTTCGGATAACTAGAAACATGATTCTACACATACAGATAACCTAATTAATACAACAATTTAAACAGATAGCTTGCAAGTCCCACACGGACTGCAATCCCCTTAATGGGTCAATACAACTAATAAGGCTCCATGCCCAAATTAACTGAATACATGCATCAAGTCTATATTAATTCGAAGTATAAAAGTATCAGTAAATAATCCATGGCTCTAAGAATACTATCATGAGCCTAAATAAATACATACAATAATCTCCATAAAATAATTAAGCATGTTAACAAGTCTACATGCCAACATCAAATCTAAACATAATATAAATCATCAGCTGCATCATCAACTACTCCAATGCGGGGGCCTTTCCCCTAGAAGCATCACCACTACTCTGGGTACCTGAAATGATGTCCCCAAACGGGGTAAGATAACAACATCTCAGTAAGCTCAAGGTTCATAGAGGATCCTCTAACCCCTGAGCCCACTTCCTGCATAACAAGTCAGATATAAAGCATATAATACAGACATACAGCATAAACATAGCATCATCATATCATCCTTGTGTAACCCCAGGGTCAAAGCCATAGACGGTTACACATGTGTGACTTCCAGGGTCAAGCCATAAACAGTCAACACAACCTCAGTATGAAATAGCTCCCAGAGTCAAGTCATAGGCAGCCTACATACCATGATCACTGGCCAGGATCCTCATAACATATATCATCAGTGCATCATCATAACATCAAGATCATATAACATCTATATGAATGTGAATGAATGCACATATACATCATACCATATACTTTCATACAATATAACCATAATGCCCACCATCATGGTGGGGCCACAAGAGAGAGGAGTCAACTAGAACTAGGAGCTTACCTTAGGGAGCTTAGCACAAGCCCACACTCCAATATAATACGTATGCTCCAACAAAATCCTCAAGTGCACGGTTCTCTAGGCACACCTAGAGTAGGAACCATTCACATCATTAATTACATATTAATTAATCAAGTTATATCCACGACTTAATCATTTAATGATTCCACTTTTCATACTCATATGCCAATAATATGCCCATTACAAGCCTAGACCAATTATAACTTATTACATATTTTAGTGCATTATTACAAGTCACTTTAATCTTCAATTACTTACATAGCTTAGAATCACATGCAAGGCTCACTTAGATTATTTTCAACTCATCCAAGTCATATTTATGATTATTATAAGTTACTAAGGGTTCCCATAAGCCCACTTAGCTTAAATATCACTTTTACGTTTTTTCCATAACTGTACATGCTTCTGTTTTCTAGTTACTGGGCGTGACTCACTTGTTATAAAATTCTCATCTTTTAGTATGTTAATCTAGACTCAATTACCTTTCCAAAAAGGTATCATATGCCTCATTTGAAGTTTCCTAGCTCCGGTTATCACCATTTGAAGTTGGACAAACAAAGCTGTTTGCCAACTCCGAACAGGGCCCTAAACATCCTTTACCATTTCTGCGATTATGAAAATTATACTAAATAATTTGCTCTAAAATTTTTATGTAGACAACTAGACACCTTTATCTTTAATTAGAAATATTATGAGCCTAATTTGAGTAATAATTGAGGGAGAAAAAATTCATGGACGTGTCAGCCATGTACAGCGCCCCTGCACATGCCTCCCTGTGCAGTCCTCACTCAAACGAACATACAGAATGGAATATATCTTCAATTGATACCAAATTTTAACACCACGTAGATAACATCTCAATCGTCAATTTGATATAAGGCACATCCCTATATGATCTCTGTGGAGGAAGATATGCTCTCCCCAATTTTGCCTAAAAACTGGTTACTTAGCCTTAAATGTGTTTACTTAACAAACCTTAATTACTTTTGATTATAAATCCTAATTCACATTAATTCTTGGATTTTTCTATTATTAAGTCACATTATGAAATATCCTTAGTCCCATTATGTCATGATACTTAAATTTTACTAATTATTTAATTAGTGTACCTAAACCTTACTTTAGTCCAATTTTAGAGTTAAATCCTTGATTACTTTTGTTAATTAATCTCTACCCTTAATTAATCACCTAATTCACCATCTCCTTAATTTTAACACAACTAAACCCTTATGTACTTTATGGGGCAGATTTGATTAGCTATATTAATTAGGATTTTTAGCCATTATTAATCATGATTAGAGAGTTTTACTTAGAGTTAACCCACCTAGTTAATCTTTCTAATCATTTTTCCACACTTAACAACTTAATAACATTTTTTTGTCATCAAACCCTATCCTTACATGATATGGCTGAAATGTTCATGGTCCATTTTTGAGTTCATAGTCATCTTTTTACATGAACATCACTCAAAGGTGCAAAGGTGGCACCTTTAGTCATCCAATCCATCATTCCATGGTTCCAAACACACACACACACTTAAGAATCATCATCAAACCATGACATTACGAAATTTTAAACAACATTCTCCTCATGAACATATCAAAACCAAGGCACTCAACAAGAAAAAGGGAGGCTTTTTGGTTCATATTTCCCAAGTGGGAGCTTACATCTTCAAGGTTTCTCCTTTAGCTCAAGTCTCCACCTTTTTCCACCAAGAACACACCTTTAGGCAAGCACACACCTTCATGAACATGCTCATGAGTTAGGCTCAAGAACATAAGAAGAAAAGATGATATTTTTCATGAAAAAAATTTAAGAACACTTACCCAAAAATCAAAGGAAACAAGCAAGCAAGTGTGATTCTTCAAGAGAGCTCAAGAACACAACTCCATAGCCTTTGCTCTCCACAAAACCATGGCTGTTTGGGATGATAAGGGACACGAAATTTTTGATTCACACCATGAAAATGGTATGGTTGTGAAGAGGAGAGTGAGGGGAACAATCTTTGTGAAGGAAGTTTGGTGGTTTAGAGAGATTTAGGTGAAGAAATCTTAGAGAGAAGTGAGAGAGTTTTCAAAATTTGAAACTTAGAGAGAGAAGGAGGTGAAGGGGCTGCTGATCAGAAATGGAAGGGAAGGAGAGGAGGGTGCCCTAATGAGGGGTGCCATGTCACTTAAGTGATATTCGTCCTTTAGTGAGACCCGGTGTAATTTTTAACTGATCCGTCGTCAAATTTTTACCCGAAAACTCTCAAGACCCTAACTTTAAGTACTTAACATTAATTTTGTCTAATTATCATGTTCATAACTTAAAAATTTGATTAGTAGGTCACAGATCCACTAACAGTTGTTTAATTGCACTGTAGTCTTTACCGGTGTTTTTAACTGTACCCGGATTTCATAATCTTCTTAACTTTAACATTTTTGGTCTAATTATGACTTGTTAGGCATATATTGGTCTTTATTTCTATTTTCTTATCTTTTTCCTGTTCCGGGATTCTACCGGATGCTGCTACAGCAGTACAAAATACCCGGCAGAAGTGACTTTTCAAAAATACCCCAATATGGGTATCAATCTTCACCAAATCATATCCTAACCTCATTCATGATGTTTATATCATTAGATTAGCTCTCTAACTATAATTTGCTAACTTGGAGCTATTCTACTAACTGTTATTACGTCAGCAGTTAAATTTAACAAATGAAAATTCATCTGTGCATAATACCTCAATATGGGTATCAAAATTATTATAATTTTATGCTCATTCCATTTATGACTATAAGGTCATCATTATAACCCTCTAATTTAAAAGTCATATAATTAGGGTTATTATAAAGTTTGATATCTTGTACCTATTATTTTCATTGTAGAAGTTTGATTCTGGACTAGTATCCCGTGAATTTTTACTTCTTCACATTGTAGAAGATTTTTCTACGTTAAAATTTGTTTGTGTTCATTTTCTCTCTCTACTTCACAATTTTTTGTTTCTGCTGCATATAGGTCGACCTGTTAAGTTCAGGCCGACCTCTCTGATAGTCGAGTTCCGAGCTCGACATTTGATTTCTGCAATACTTCTAAGCTGAGATTGATGAACGGAGTTCGTCCTAACACTTTTATCATTGAAGAGAGGAAGAATACTACAAGGTTTCTATCTATCTATAACCTTTCAAATGAGAGTGCCTTCTTTCCTATTATTATCTCTGCTAAGATAACCCCAAAGCTATATACAATTACACATCACTCTTCTATATTAAATGGCTTGTTTGAAAGCATTCTGGATCAAGACAACCCAGTGTCCCTTGGACCAAAGTGGTTAGCTGATTTTCATCAAGAGGAACAATCCTTGAAGCTCCAAAATCAGAAACCTTTACAATGAGATTATGATCAAGTAGTATATTTGTAGTTTTCACATCTGTGTGTATGATTGGTGCAGAAATAGCAGAACACAAGTATGCCAGGGCCCCCGCAGCTTCTGTTGCTATTCTCAATCTTGTTTTTCATATAAGTTTTATAGAATTTCTTTGATCATGAAGATGCTCAAGGATAGTACCATTGGGGATGAATTCATAAACAAGCAAGAGAAATTGTGTCTCTAGACAACAACCCAAGAGCTTTACCACATTCCTATGGTTGATTTGGGAAAGAACGATCACTTTATTGAAGAATTGCTTAATCTGGCTTGGGTCACTGATTTTGGTTATTGCTACAATTCTGTTATCTTGTAATATTCCTCTGTAAACTGTTTCGTGGCCACCTTGGCTTAGGACTCTTCCTTCATCAAAGTTGTTGGTGGCATCCTTTAACTCCGCCTCAGTGAAGACTTTAGTTGTTTCAGTTGACCCTCTATGCCTTGCTATCTGTTGTTGGAAAAACAAGCCACCATTTTGTTGAAATTTTTTTTCTTTAAGTTTGATGAGATTTCTCTTCTCTAATGCCTAATACACATAACAGCTTCCTATGAGTAGTGCTATAACCATTACATTCACACCTGGACATAAAACAAGTGGGAAAATGGTCATTAATTTTCTTTCTATATTTTTTGTCTTTTTGATGTCTCAACTTCACATTGTTGCAGATAACACATGCCAACAAATCAAAATGCACTATTTCTATATTTCTTGTCCTAAATTGGATGGTTGAACTATTATTCTTGGTTGTCAGATCTGCAACTTTGGTAGGATGGACAAAATTATACTTCTCATCTCACTACAAAGGCTGAATCTATTGCGGCCAATAAGCGCACTCGATGGAAGATGATTGATGCTCAATTGTGAAGTCTTATCAAATCCACTCTTCAACTTTCCATTAAGCATATTTTTTGGCTTGCAAATACTAGTGAGGCTATTTGGAGTCAGGGAAAGGATTTGTACAGAAATGACACGCAGCGACTCAATGGTGTGTGTCAGAAATTGATATCTACCTTTGCCCCTTGTGGTTTTAATTGTCCTATGTCTGAGTACTTGGGGAAAGCTCAAAGTTTGCTTCATGATTTCAATGAACTTTTGCCCCTTAATCCGTGATGTTGTTAAGGAGTAGGAACAACGTAGTACTCTTTTTATGATGTTGATTCTATATGGTTTACCTCCCCATTTGTCTATCCATTGGGATCAGATTTTGGGGACTGCTATTGTTCTTACACTAGATTATGTGATGTCTACTTTGCTTAGGATTCCACCTAAGCATTCTGCATCAACAATACATGTTATACACCATGTTTCTTTGATTGACACCTCTGACTCTTCTGCCCTTGCTGCTCAGGGCTCTGGTCGTGGATGTAAACTCTCTAAGGGTCGGCTTCTCTACACTCATTGTCATCGGACGAATCATACTGTTGATCATTGTTGGAAGCTTTATGGAAAGCCACCTCCACCTCCTCGGAGTGCTTATATCGCTCAGACTCCATCTAGTGTTGCTAATCCAAGGTTATCTTCTGCAACACAGCCTCTTGTAACTCTTCTTAATGAATTCGTGAATTAGTGGTCTGCGAAGCATCTGGTACTACTACCTTCATTGCTGCAACTGGTAATTATTTTGTTGAGATCTCTTAGCTATAATCTCTAGATCCTTGGACTCTTGATTCTGGGGCTTCTGATCACATCTCTTGTAATAAATCCTTATTCACCTCTCTTTGTACCACTGGTTCCCAATGGGTCTTTGGTCCAATCCTGTGGGATCATCACGGTTATTCTCTTCCCCAATTTATCTTTGGATTATGTTCTCTATGTTCCATATTCTCCTTTTAACTTACTTTTCAGTAGCCATTTGACAAAATTCATTGATTGTGTGGTTTCTTTTACTAAAACTTTTGTCATTTTACAGGACCAGAGTTCGAGGAAAGAGATTATCAAAGAATGTGAGTCTCATGGCCTCTATCAAATTTTTCCTTCTTCTTCAGCTTGCTCTACTGTGGATTCACCCCTCACTATCCATGCACGTTTGGGTCATCCAAGTCTTGCCAAGCTTCAGAGGAAGGTTCCCAATTTATCGTCTTTTTCTAGTTTACATTGTGAGTCTTGTCAGTTTAGGAAACATACTCGTAGTACGTTCCCAAGTCATCTTAATCGTCAAGCTTTGTCCCCTTTTTCTGTGGTCCACTGTAATATTTGGGGGCCTAGTCATCATCATTCTACTTTAGGGTTTAAGTATTTTGTTACATTTATTGATGATTATTCCAGATGTACTTGGTTTTTTTAATGAAAAATCGTTCTTAGTTATTTTCTGTTTTTCAGTTATTTTATAGTGAAATCAAAACTCAGTTTGGTATTCCTATTCGTACTTTTCATAGTGATAATGCTTGTGAGTATTTATCTCATCAATTTCAATAATTCTTTTTATCTAATGGCATTCTTCATCAAAAGTATTGTCCTCATACACCCCAACAAAATGGTGTAGCCGAACAAAAATCGTCACCTTGTTGAGACTACTCGTGCATTGTTAATTGATGGCAATGTTCCCTACAAATTTAGGGGTGATGTTATTCACATTGCTTTCTATCTCATTAATCGCATGCCCTTTTCGGTTCTTCACAACTAGGTACCTCACTCTATTTTGTTTCCTCATCAACCTTTATTTCCTTTGAACCCACATGTATTTGGTTCTACGTGTTTTATTCATCATCTTGGTCCAGGCTTAGATAAACTAGCTTCTAAGTCTCATAAATGTTTTTCTAGGTTATCATCAATCTCAAAAGGGTTATCGTTGCTACTCTCTAACTTTACATCGATATTTTATCTTTGCAGATGTCTCCTTCTTTGAATTAGTCCCATTTTTCGGCTCCACTATTACTCATGTGGTCCCTGATCAATCATCTCTCCCTGTTACCTCCTTTGAATACCTTCCGCCTCTTCCTGTCCCTGTGTCACCTGATAGAAGTATTTCTCCTTTTGTATCTGATAACAAAAAACCAAAAACTTTTTTATTTTGTTTTCCGTTTCCTATCACAAAAATTGAACTGGTTAATTCTGGGAAACAAAAAAATAAGTTCCCCAATTTCTATATTTGGGAACAAAATTTGAAAAAAAAAAACTGATTTTGATTAAAGTAAATCTAACATTTGAAGATATATTTATTTTTAATTTAATTTATTTTAAAATATATTATTTTTTTAGTTTATTAAGATTTAATAATTGATAAATCACTTATTATATATTTTATAAAAAATTATCAAAATTTAATAGTTCACAAGATGGGGAAAATATGTGTCATTTTAAAGGATGTAAAATTATATATAAATTATGGAGAAGAGATAGTGGACAAAAAAATAAAAGTGTGAATCTCACTTTTTTATAAAAATAAAAGGGATACGATATTTGTGACACCCAAGTTATGTTACACCCATGTGACACCCAGTCAATCTCACCGTTAGATCGCTTATGTTGATCCAACGGTTATATTTATTTTCATCTTTGTATGGTCATGATTTCCCAAATTTAAAGTGAAAACATTAAATATGGGAAATCATAACTATACAAATGTAGAAATAAATATAAAATATTAAATTTGAGAAATCATGACCATACAAAGATGGAAATAAATATAACCGTTGGATCAACATAACCGATCTAACTGTGAGATTGACTGGGTGTCACATGAGTGTAACATAACTTAGGTGTCACAATATCCTATCCCAAAATAAAATAACACAAATTTATCATTTTAAAGGACAGACACTTTTGCTTTACAAGATTAACTTACGTTTAAAAATAATGTTTTTTTTCCCTCGAAACGGACTTTGTTCTGGACTGCAGGAACAGTTCAAATTTGGCTGCGACTGAATATTATAAAGCGTTTACTTCCATGA